AGCCAAAGATGGACCCTGGGCATGGGTGGCAGCACCCACTGCTGAGTCTGTTGGGACCTTTCTGCCCTCCAGAGAGGGCCATCGTCCAACTCTTCACTCTGCCATTCAAACCAACCCTATCCCGCATCCAATAATATTTCCAACTATACCGGGGCTAAGCCTTTGCTCTAGCCAAGGAGTATTTTTCTTATTGCCAAACCTGCCTTCCCTTATGCTCTCTTCTCTACTTTTGACAATCCTATCATTTATCCTCACTCGCTCACTTGTTCAATCAAAAAACATTAATTGAGGTCTGATTACCTGGCACTGTGCTAAAGGGGAAATACACACACACACACACACACACACACACACACAGGTTCTTCCACATGAAGTTTTTCCCAATTACTTATTGAAACAATTGTTTCATGTAATTGTAAACTCTTTGAGGGCAGGGATGATGTCTCCCTTTTTTCTCTCATTTGCCTAAAACAGGATTAGGAATCCATTGACCCCAGTGACCACTGGGGAGCTCTTCAGTTGTATAAGGGTGACACAAGAGCCAGACCTAATGACCTCACCCATGCTGAGCATAATCACAACTGCTAACATTTACATGTGTCCAATGTGCCAGGAGCCAAGCTATGTGCTTGACATACATGCTCTCTCTCAATCTTCCCAGGAGAGTTTTCTTCCTGACCAATCTCTACCAGTCTAAAGTGGTTCCACGACCCAAAAGTAGGGGAGGAGGGAGACAATTAGGTGGTTGCGTGGTTTGGAGAGTAAGGCTGTGTGGTGGGTGGTAAAGATTGAAGTAGTCTCCTTTTCGCTTTGGAGGAACTGGCAGGAGGTAAGAGAGTAGAAGAAATGGGCGGCGGGTTGAATCTTACCATGATAATAAGTCCAAGTCATTGTATGTAAAACTGTGACTTTCTGAGGAACTGGAAAACCAGGGGCAAGGATCCTCAAACCCTCCATAGAAACCCCTCCAGATACATGTGAGCAGAATATTTTAGAGCCAAGTGATTATCATTTTTCTGATTATTATTCTTGCAAATATTATTATTACTATAATTTATTGAGCACCTACTTTGCACAAAACATGCTTAATATATTATCATTTCTAATTGTCACAACAACCTTATAAGGCAGGTAATATTCCTGTTTTATAGGTTAGGAAACTAGAGGTTTAGTAGCTTGCTTAAGGTCATACAGCTAGTAAGAGTGATCTTCCACTAGAATTTACCATTAATCTCCTTTTAAAACAGCTTTATTGAGGTGTAATTGACTCGCAATAAATATAAGTTAAATGGTAAGTTCTAACATATGTAGGCACCCATGAAACCATCACCACAATGAAGATAGGGGACATTCATGACCCCCCTTGCAAAGGTTTCCTTATTCTTCTCTGTAATCTCTCCCCCGCGCCCCTTGTATTCTGCCCCATTCCCAGTCAATGACCGATCTGCCTTTGTCGCTATACATTAACTAGCATTTCCTAGAATTTTATATAAATGGAATCATACAGTATGTTCTCTTTTTTTGTCTGGCTTCTTTCACTCAGCCTCATTATTTTTGAGTTTCATCCACCTTGTTACGTGTATTAGTAGTTTATTCTTCTTACCGCTGAGCTGTATGATATAACACAGTTGGTGCATCCAATGGACATTTGGGTTGCTTCCAGTTTTGGATTATTACAAATAAAGCTGCTCGTCTGTATGGGCATATGTTTTCTTTTCTCTTGGTAAATACCTGGAAGTTTAATGGCTGGATCATATTGTAGGTATATGTTTATCTTTTTATCAAGGTGTTTTCCAAAGTGACTGTGCATTCCCACCATCAGTGTATGAAGCTTCCAGTTCCTCTAAATCCTCATCAGCACTTGGTGTGGTTAGCCTTTTTAATTTTAGCCATTTTAATGGATGTGTAGTAGTATCTGCTTGTAGTTTTAATTTGCATTTCCTTAATGACTAGTAAGGCTGAGTACCTTTTCGTGTGCTCATTTGCTATCTGTATATCTTCTGGGGTAAGGTTCTGTTCAAATCTTTTGCCCATTTCTTAAATTGGGTTGTTTTCTTATTATTGAGTGTTAAAAATTCTTTATATATTCTGGATAAAAGTCGTTTATCAGATTATTATTTGCCAATATGTCCTCCCACTGTGTGGCATACCTTTTCATTTTAAATTTTGATGAAGTATATTCATTAATTTGTTCTTTTATGGATTGTGTTTTTGATGTATCTAAGACATCTTTGCCTTTCCCAAGGTCTCAGAAGTTTTATAGCTTTAGGTTTTACATTTAATATATGATCTATTTGGAGTTAAAATTTGCATATGATGTGAGGTATGAATCCAAGTTCATTGTTGCATATGAATATCCAATGTTCTAGCATTCTTTGTTGAAAGATTGTCCTTTCTCCACTGAATTGACTGTATCTTTGTTGAAAATCAGTTGTCCTTATAAGTAAGGGTCTATCTCAGGAGTCTCTGTTCTGTTCCACCGGTTTATCTCTCTGTGTGCCAGTACTAGACTGTACTGATGACTGTAGCTTTGTAATAAATCTTCAAGTCAGTGTGAGCCCTCCAACTTTGTTCTTCTTTTTCAAAGTTATTTAGACTATTCTAGCTCCTTTCCATATGAATTTTAAATCATTTTGTTGATTTCTACAAAAAAGCCTGATGGGATTTTGATAGGGATTACATCAAATCTATGGATCATTTTAAGAAGAATTGATATCTTAACAATATTGAGTCTTCTGACCCATTAATAAATTATATGTCTACATTTATTTAGGTCCTTAATTTCTCTCAGCAATGTTTTGTAGTTTTCAATGTATAAGTTTTTCACCTCTTGTCAGATTATCTCCAAGTATTTCAGTTCTATCAATGCTACTGTAAATGGTATTGTTTTTTAATTTCAACTTTCAATTATTCATTACTAGTATATAGAAATTAAGTTGATTTTTATATATTGAAATTGTATCCTGTAACCTTGCCAAACTCACTTATTAGCCCTTTTTTTTTATATGTTCCATTGGATTTTCTACATGGGTGATCGTGTCATTTGTGAGTAGAGACAGCTTTACTTCTTTCTTTCCAATTTGGTTGCCCTTCATTTCTCTTACTTGCTTTATTGTACTGGCTGGAACGCTAATGCAATGTTGAACAGAAGTGGTGAGAATAGACATCCTTGTCTTGTTACTGAATTTAGAGGGAAACCATTCAGACTTTCACCATTAAATGTGATGTTAGCTTTAGATTTTTTTGTACATGCCCTTTATCAGGTTGAGTGAGTTTCTTTATATTCCTACTTTGCTGAGAGTTTTTACTAGGAACGGAAGGTTGGGATTTGTTGAATACTCTTTCTGTAGCTATTGCAATGATTACATGCTTTTTCCTTTTAGTTTGTTATGTGGTGAATTATATTGCTTTAAGAATGTTAATGTTAAGAGTGGTTACTCTTGCATTTGTTGTATAAACCCCACTTAGTCATGATACATTATCATTTCTAGATATTGTTGGATTTGATTTGCTAAAATTTAGTTTATATTTTTTGTATGTATGTTCATAAGGGATATTGATTTGTAGCTTTCTTTTCTTGGAATGTCTTTGTTTTCTATGTCAGGATAATCCTGGTTTCATAGCTGAGAAGTAGTATCTCCTTTTCAGTTTTCTAAATGAGTTATTTCTTCTTTAAATATTTGGTAGAAATCACGAGTGAAGCCATCTGGGCCTGGAGTTTTCTTTTCAAGAATTTTTTTAACAACAAATTGAATTTC